TGTGCTTCAGCTCCCCTTCCACTGGGGCAGCCCAACCGGGAACGGCTCCGAGCACACCCTCGACGGGCACCAGCTCCCCATGGAGGTAGGCAAAAAAAAGAGCACCCATGGTGCGCTCTGAGTGGGCCAAGTCCTTGGTGTGTGAGCAGGTGCAATGTGGGTGTGTCCCAGGGCTGCCACACGGCGGGGTGACCGGGCTCCATGGCCCTGCCCTGGAGCCCGTGTGCCCTGTCACCGTGGCCTCACGCTGGCAGGGGGGTGCAACGACCTGCTGCATGGGGCACCTGTGTGGTTAAAAAGCAGCTGACATGAGGCTCAAGATTTCTCTTTACTGTGCATGGGCCAAGCTGCCTTTTGGGAAGCACTCGGAGGGGTTTGGAGGGCTCTGTGCCCTGCCGGGACCACACACCGAGTCAGTGAATGCAAGCAACAGTCTGGAGGAGCGTGCTGTGCCAAGGGAATCAGGATCCTGCTGGGTGAAAGAGGCTCTGCGCCTCTAAAATGTTAATTATCTGCCAGAAGAGAGCAAACTTCATGTCTTGCAGCTGGTGGGTGCCTTGGGACCACTGGCCCTCTTTCTCCTCCTCTTCAAAGGATGCTCACTTCATTCGGGTGTTTTGTTCCTCCCAACAGCCACCCCATGAAAGCTCCTGTGGGACCAGGAGGACTTTTCTGGGAGTGGCTGTCTCAGTGTCCGGCTGTTACGGGCTGGCTGGATAGATCTGTGGGCGAGCACCCCACTGCTGGGGCGGTGGCTGGGGATGGTTGCCCACCCTTAGTTCCTCCATGCTCTCCTCAGCTGCACATTGTCCACATGAACATCAAGTATCGGACACTGGCGGAGGCCAAGGGACATCCCAACGGGCTGGCCGTCCTTGGCTTCTTCTTCCAGGTGGGTCTGTGGGGGTTCACCCTGCTGCCGGGAGGGGAGGCCCTGGGAAAAGGTTGCTCTCGGTGTGGCTGGGGAAGGATTTACAAAGGCCACCCTGAGGGAGTGGGGCAGGGTGGGAAGGTTGGGTTGGTGCTGGGAGGTGCTGAGGAGTGAAAGGTGCCATGATTCCCCTGCCAGCTTTGTGCAAGGGGGTCCCAGCTGGGATCTCGCTGGCGGCACGGGGCCAGGGCTGGCTCTGCCTGTGGAGGCTTTCTGTTGCAGGATGGCCAAGCTCTGCCCTGCTCCTGCTCTGCCTGGCCCCAGCTGCTTGTTCCTCCACTCTGCAGGTCTCCGAAACCCCGAACACCAACTACAACACCATCGTGGTGGGGCTGAAGAATATCTCCTATGCTGGTGAGTTGCCTCCTTGCCAGGGCAAAGGCAGAAAGAGGCTCTGCTGTGGGAGAGCAGGGGTGCACCCCGGCGGGTTGGCTGGGAGGGCCCTGGCGGTCTGTGGGGCCATCTGGCTGCAGGGAATCTGAAGGGGGTGGCCCTGCTGCCCCACCTCAATGTCCCTGGCACAAGACGGGCTGAATGCCCATGTCTCACCCTGCAGGGGACTCTGTGGATTTGGCCTCCACCTTCCGCCTAAGCACCCTGCTGCCGCGCTCTGGCCAGCTCTCCGGGTACTACCGCTACCAGGGCTCCCTCACCACCCCCGACTGCAGCGAGGCTGTTGTCTGGACTGTCTTCGAGGAGCCAGTGGAGATCGGCTGGGAGCAGGTACTGGCATGCACGGCCCTGTGCTCTGGCAGCCAAAGGGCTGGACCTCCGGGTGGACAGAGCTCAGCGCCTCTCCTTGTGCTTCACCTGACCCCAAAGCAGGGAAAATCACCTCTGTGCTTATGCTCCTGGCAACCTGGCAATGAATTAATTTTTTGAGGCTTAAGTAATGGAGCCATGGCCACCTGCCACTGGGGAGAAATCCTGTCTGTAGTGCTCTCCTGCCCAGCCCCAGTACTGAGAAAGTGAACCCACTGGAGCTCAGAAGAGGCTGCAAGGACGCGACTGGCTGGGTGGGTGAATGGATGGAGACGTGAGTTCTCCTCTGCTGCCCAAGCATCTTAGTAGATGTATTTCCTTGAGGGTGTCATGGGCCAGCTGCTCTTTAAGTGCTCAGCGCAGGTGATGAAACGTGATTAGCTGCTCTAAAACTCAAGAGCCAGTCCTTGCAAGGCCCAGGCTCTGTACTTAATGCTCCAGCTCTGGTTTGGGGAGAGTGGTGAGGGGTGGTGGGAGGACACCTGCCAGCATGGGGCAGGACAGCACAAAAGGGGGCACACAAGTGGGCAAGGGCTCAGGGCACCCAGTGAAGAGATGCCCACAACTGCCTCTCCTCCTGCACAGCTTCAGGCGTTCGTCAGCACCCTCCACTTCCCAGCCGAGGGCCCCATGCTCCTAAAAATGACCAACAACTTCCGCCCGCCGCAGCCCCTGCACAGCCGCAAGGTCTTCGCCTCCCGGGCAGCCACGGCCAGTGCACAAGTGGGCAAGGGCTCAGGGCACCCAGTGAAGAGATGCCCACAACTGCCTCTCCTCCTGCACAGCTTCAGGCGTTCGTCAGCACCCTCCACTTCCCAGCCGAGGGCCCCATGCTCCTAAAAATGACCAACAACTTCCGCCCGCCGCAGCCCCTGAACAGCCGCAAGGTCTTCGCCTCCCGGGCAGCCACGGCCAGTGGGGGGTCCCCACGTGAGGGCCGCCCCCAGCTCCTCTTCCCCCTGCTCCTCCTGGCTCTGCTCAGACCCTTCTCAGCAGTCCTGTAGGGTCTGGCCCTGCTTTTCACCAGTCTCCACATGAGCATCATGGCCCTGCAGTGGTGACAGGGAAGCCACACAGCTGGTGCATGGGGAAATGGGAAAAAAAACCCCAAACACAAAAAGCATGTAAAGGCCTCAGCTGGGTCTGATTTTGTAAACCTGGCTGGCTGTAGAGGTGAATCTCTGAGAGTCCAGAGCCGCCCTGCTGTGCCCCTCTATAGCCAGGCAGTGAGAGACACCCGGGAGGGCTGCTGGAGGGGCTGGAATAAAGCCGAGGTCCTTGCTGGTGGCTGTGGGTGGCTGCCTCTTTGGCTGTGTCCCTTCGGCATTGCTGGGGTTTGGTGCTTGGCACGGGGGCGTGGGGTTAGTGGGGAGGTGACATGGTGTCTGGGTGGCATGTGGCGCCGCAGGGGTTATGGGACTCCCGCTCTCCCCCCTGTGCAATAAATCCCCGGGTTCAAATCCCAGTGTGGCTCAATCTCCTCACGTTCCCCATGCTTGCAGATGCTGCCCTGCTGCTTTCCTTGGGGCGGGGCAGGACAGGGCTGTCCCCGGGGACACAGCCCCTCTCGGTGCCGGGGACAGGCACCGACGGCTCTTTCCATGGAGCTGGTTTTACGGTGGCAGGAGCAGCTGCAGCTGCGGGCGCTGTTCCTGTCGGGGGGAACGGGATGTTTCCTAATTAACGTGCTGAAGCCCCGGGCATGTTCCTGTCTCCTTCTGCATTAAGAGCGTACGCGCACGGGTTGGGTGTGGGAGCAGGGTGGGTGGCTCGAGTTCTTCATCACTTCAGAGGGGAAACGGCTGGCAGGGCAGGGCTCCAGTCCTCCTCAGCCCAAGGGCTGGCTGCAGCACCCATGGGTGCAGGGGGCCTGAGCATCCTCCTGGTGCGAGGCTCGGGCTCCTTCTGACTCCCACAGCGGGGCAGAGGCTTCTCCAGGGGTGAAGGGTGCAGCCGAAGACCCCGTGATCCCCACGCTGGGGTGCTC